CTTAAATTTGAGATTGTCATTTTCTGTCAGCCCAATTTACCTCAGAATATTGTGGGGAAATCCCCATTTAAGCTGCCTTGAGCTTCGTAAAATCTAACAAAATAATAATTAAAAAAAGAATAAGGATTATACTCACCACTCTGTGTATTCAAAATGTGGTGCTTGTCTAAGGACCAGCCTCCAAGATTTGAAGCATCCAACTCAAATCCTTGCAATGTCACAGTCCTTTTCTCCCACAGAATCAGATCAGGGCAGCTCTCATACTCGTAACCTACTGAGACTGCGGAGAGATAAAATACAACATATCATAGCTACTAGTTTGTCGATTGCTTAGGGTGGATCTAAGAGCAGGCAACAGGTGGTAAAGTAGTGGCACACTTCAAAACCAAGAACACACTAAGGCAGAAGCTTGTCCACCCCAAAGATAAAACACCCAGACAGAAACTGAGCAACGTGGTATATGCAGTATAATGCAGTCAGCCATCTGCAGATCTGTGCATTGGGGAAACAAAACAGCCACTTCACAAATGCATGGCACAACATAGGAGAAGAAATCCATCAGGTCAAGATTCAGCAGTCCATCTGCATTTGAAAGACACAGGCCGCTCTTTTGAAGACAACAAAGTCTATATTTTGGACAGAGAGGATGGTTGGTTTGAAAGAAAGGGTTAAAAATATCATCTAAGTCAAAATTGAACAGCTGTCTCCCAACAGAGGGGGAGGGATATGACATCATCTATCTCCAGTCTACAACACAGTCCTTTCAAAAAGGTCTCGTATCCATTTGTACCACTCAGGCGACCCTGATGACACAGATAAAACTCCAGGTGACCTTAACGACCCTCTAAATGGATGCAAATGACCAGCTGGCTGCAAGGAGTATAAATACTTCCATTCCCCACCATTCAGTCAAGAGTTGAAAACCTTTCTTGGATGAGAAGTGATACATCTTCAAAGAAAAAAGTCCATTGCCACTTGAAAAAAGCACCTTTGGGACCACCTGTGTTTTTTGTTTTTAAACTTACCAGGCCTAGATCAGCAAGTATGTCCCAATGTCCCCCTCCCCCCCAAAAAACAGTGGGAAAACTATAAACCCAAACGAGGAGTCTGCATTGCTGCTTAGTCTGAGTAAGACTATTTGATTGCTGATTACTTTCTTTTTAAAGAAATGAAAAATCAAAAAAACAAAACTGAGCCAGGTAATGAGGTGTTCAATCTATGACATTCTTATTAAGGGGGCTGAGATTAAACCTCGCAATTTAAAGATAACTCGGAGTAACTCTTTCAAACCTGAAAAGTCAACAGGAACAGGAGAAGCCATAAAACTTGTCATGGTAACAACAGCAACAAGGAGAAAATAGCTTTTGCAGTGGCAATTTTTCCTCTGTTTCATTACCATGACAAATACAGTCGATTTTTTTTGCGGCTGAAGCTGATTCCCAGATTCTCTGAGACGACCACAGAGCGCCCGCTGGCAGTGCAGAGGCTCAAGAGTATATGAGAAGAGAGGAAGGAGGGGAAAAAAAATCTCCCAACTAAAAGATATAATTGCTCTCTGCTGCTGGAGGGAACAGCTCGGGTTGTAAATATAAACATTGTTTCTTGGGAAGACAGACGTGGAAGGCAGAGGTAGCAAATTTAAAAGGCAGAACTGTGCCACACGCCAAAACATTACAATAATGGAACAACCTTGGGGCTTATGAAGAGAAATGAATGCTCTCGGACTTGCAATGGTTCTCCCGGGACTTAAGGCAGAAGTCATTCTTCCTGATCATTTGGAAATCCTAAAAGATTGAACCTTGGGTGTTTTGTACTCAAAACTCATGGCCTACGATGGGATTCCACGCCCTCCTTCCGGCGAACAGAGAGGTTGTTTCAGTGGTATCTAGTAATCATCTTTAAGAGGGTAAATGATGCTTTGAGGTTTCTTCCCTTGCTTTACCCAACAATTTGTATCAGCTCTGAAATTGTCACAGCGGTGGTGTCTTCCTGAGGGCAAGGACTCACACAGCATCGCTCTGGGCAAAGGCAGAAAGGTATGCCTGGATGAAAACCTCAATGATCATCCAGAGGTTCAGGATGCAGCCAAATTTGTATTTGTTTGTATTACTTTGTCGAACAGGTACGAGGTAGCAGGTATAAATATAAACATGGACATGAATGAAAGAAATGAATAGAAATAAATGGGGACAGTAGGACAGGGACGGAAGGCACACTGGTACACTTATGCACGTTCCCTTTACGGACCTCTTAGGAATAGGGTGAGGTCCATGGTAGACATGAAGCTGTGAGGGTTTGAGGATCTAACCATGGAGTCAGGTACAGCATTCCAGGCATTGACCACTCTGTTGCTGAAGTTGTATTTTCTGCAATTGAGTTTGGGGTGGTTCACCTTGAGTTTGAATCAATTGTTTGACCGTATAGTATTGTGGTTGAAGCTGAAGTAGGCATTGACAGGTAAGATGTTGTAATGGACAATTTTGTGTACTGTGCTTAGATCAAATTGTTGCTTCTACAAGCAGAATGATTATAGTGGCAAGCTAAAAGAACAAATGGCCAGGTCCACTCCGTAACGCTTGGGGAAGGATATCCCAAGAGTGCTTCTTCAGGAGGCAACTGGACTTTCTTGTTTTTCTTTGAAGGTGTATGAGCTTCTCATCCAAGAAGCTCATGCAAGCAAGTCCATTTGTCTCCTGAAAAAAAAAAACACCTTTGGGACAGCCACGGACTGGATGACTGAAGATCTCCATAGACTTTTAGCTGTGCACTTTGGGATGAATGCCCTTCGAATGATGTGGGAGTATGAACAGATTTTAACAAAACATTGCAGACTACAGGAACCATTTGTAGTTTGAGATGCAGACAGAAAAGACTCATCCCCAACAGCCTGTCTTCAACAGTGAAGGGAGACAGGGCAGAAAATATCTACAGCCAAGAAGGGCCCACATCCATATGCACTACTCGGGTGACCGAGAGGACACAGATAAATCTACAAGTGGCCTCAATGATCCTCTAAAAGGATGCAATTGACCAGCTGTCTGTAAGGAACGTGAATCCTTCCATTCCCCACCATCCAGTCAGAGCTAAAGAAGCTTCTTGGATGAGAAACGAAACGTCTTCAAAGAAAAAACAAGAAAGTCCAGTTGCCTTTTGAAAAAGCATCTTTGGGACAACCATGACCTAGATGACTAAGAATCTCCATAGACATTTGGGGAAGGATAGTTTTGTGGTTACCAAAACAGTCTTCCCCAAGCCTTTGCCCATTCAGTTTTGGTCACCATGATGCAAAAAAAGATGTTGAGATTCTAGAAAGACAGCAGAGAAGAATAACACAGATGATTAGGGGACAGGAGGCTAAAACATATGATGGAAGGTTGCAGGAATTGGGTCTGTCTAGTCTAGTGAAAAGAAGGACTGGCGTGACACAATAGCAGCATTCTGATATTTGATGAGCTGCCACAAAGAAGAGGGGGTCAAGCTATCCCCCAAAGCAGCTGAAGACAGAACAAGAAGCAACAGATGGAAACTAATCAAGGAGACAACCAACCAACCTAGAACTAAGGAGAAATTTTCTTATGGTGAGAATTAGTCAATTGAATGGCTTGCCTTCAGAAGTTATGGGTGCTCCATTGCTAGAGGTTTTTAAGAAGAGATTGGACAGCCATTTGTCCAGAATGATACAGGATTTCCTGCTTGAGAAGGGGGTTGGACTAGAAGACTTCTAAGATCCCACCCAACTGTGTTAATCTGTAATTCCTGTTTCATTTATGTCACAGAGCTAGTTCCCCCGTGTCCTCACTCTAATCCAGGGGTGTCAAACTGGTGGCCCGTGGGCTGGATGCGTCATGCACAGGCCACTCCCACCCTGGCTCCAAAAAGGCAAAAAACATCACACATCACACAGTTTGGTATCGCTGATAGTGGCACAGCAGACATTTCCACCAAGTCCCCGCTCAAAATCATTCAATTTCTAGTGTGAGGCACGGATGGCTAAACCCGAGCCTTTGGCTCAAGATATTAAAAAAATGAAAACTGGCATTGAAGACAGGAGTCTGTGCTCTCCCTTATGTCTCACATCATCTGTAAAATATGTTTGCTTAGTTTAATTGCATTCGCACATTTAAAGCTGCCTTCAACGTGAATGCGAGGGTTACTGCATGCAAAAGAGACCTTGATCAATCTGAAAGGGCAATTTAAGTAGGATTTCCACTAGCTTGATTTATAGCAATGAATATTGAAATGCTGCTGTACATCCCAGTTTTTCGGTGCAGTTCTTCCATCCTGCAACTGGAGTATCTACTCATACTTAATGTAGTTATTAAGTCCATTTATGTTTTTGCCTTTTCAGTCAAAAGGCATCTCTTTCATCCGCCCATAAATTGCAACAAGTGTAAGTTATACTGAAATGAAAAATAACCAAGTGTGGGTCTTTGGTGGTCTTCCCTCCTTTGGTTCAGTTACAACAGGAGGATTAGACATTTCATCTCTGTTCTAGGTTAACCACCTATCTCTCTTCAACATAAAATGGTAAATTGCTCTTAGCTGTGAAATGTTTGGAAATAGGCTTGCTTCCCTGAATCCCAGGAAAGTTTGACATACGATCCTCTGATATTTTAGGCGAAGACAAGAATAGGAAAGGTGCACAGGCTGTTTTCAAGGCCTGTGTGGAAGGAAGGAAGGAAGGAAGGAAGGAAGGAAGGAAGGAAGGAAGGAAGGAAGGAAGGAAGGAAGGAAGGA